TTTTTATATCTTTCTTTTTATTTTTGTAAATTGTCAAAGTTCGAATAAATTTAATAAAGATAAAGGCTACTATGCCACGTTTGCCTGGTTTTTAACCAGTGTTGGGATGCCGTAATTCATTCAGTTTATATATAATTTACTATGTAAAGTGCCAAAATAATTTGGGATGTCATAATTGAATTTGGGATTTTACTTATAATTACGGCAGCCCAAAATAATTTGGGTGGCATGTATAATTTGAATATTATCACTATGATTTATAATACTAATAGTATAGTTTTTTTAATATCTAAATATATTGATCATCCTAATTATCTTAGTTGCAATACAGTAGTTTAGCCAAATAACATGAGTCTATTGAACAATAAAAATTAATTGTTTCAATTATATCAATATATTACAACAATTAAATAAATTTACTATTAAATTATTGCTATCATTTTTCTTTTACTATATAATTCTTTTATAGCTTTTTGTTAAAAAAAATACAAGACATATTTTTAACCCTAAAAGCTAAAATTAAAGTGCCAACACTAGTACTTCTTAAAATTACTGATGATTTATATCTTTATATACCGTAACTTTTGCAATTAATAATTACCAAAAAAAAAATTTAGATAATTAAATGGTAAAAAAAAATTATTTAGTTATAACTTAATTAATATATTATACTAAATTAATTTTTTCTATGAGAGATCATTATCGGATCATCCCAACTTAAGAATTTACCACTTAAGGATTTAATAGTATCAATTTTTTCACCAGCACAAGAAGCCAAAGAAGCGAGGATATGAGCTGGTTGATCAGCAGGAACCAAATTATTTGATTTATACAGACTTATAAATTTATCATGTTCAGATTTATTCATTCCCATTTCCATTCCTATGTATAGTAAAAGAAATGTAAATTTATAAATACAGGAAAAAAGAAAATTAGATTAAAATACCTTTTTCACGTATAAGTTTTTGCATATCAGTATCAACAACTCCAGGACGAATTGATATTGCTACAACATCAGGTTCCTCTAATGCAAATGTAGTTGTTAACATATTAAGTGCTGCTTTAGTGCTATTTTAGAATAATAATAATAATAATAATTTAATTTCCTGCAATTAAACAACAAAATAATAATTTTAATATCACTTACGTGCTATATGCAGCCCATCCATAATATTCGTTAGTAGCAGCTCCAGATGACACAGAAACAAAAACCCCTTTATTTTGTTTCAATTGTACCAATGATTTTTTAATTAAATTTACTATCGAAAAGAAATTTACATCGTAACTTCTAATAATTTAAATTAATGAATAAATAAAATTTTGATTATTGATAAAAGGGTTGTTAAATTATTTTATTATTACCTCTTCCATTCATCAATATCAGTATTAGCCACAGTACCAATTGAAAGGGTTCTATTAAAATTCAAAATCGATAATGTTTTCTGTTAATTTCATCCTTTTTGATCCTAAAATAAAAGAACTCAAATGGCTTACCCAGCATTTGCAATAACACCATCCAATTTTCCCCACGTTTTAACAGATTTTTCAATTGCTTCATTAATAACTCGTTCCTCTGTAACATCTCCAATAACAATTTCAATTTTACCTTTTCCATTTAAATCATTTTCAACATATTGTTTTAATTCTATTAGATCTTTTTCCGTACGTGATATTGCTACAACATTATTATTAAATTTTTTAATTAATTCTATCACTGCCGCTCTGCCTATTCCTCTTGATGCACCTGTAACTAAAATTGATTTTGCAGTCATAATGAAGAGTATACATACAAACTAATTTTTCATTTCATCTTTGCGGCATCTCATAATATGTCGTACAAGCACAGATACCCAAAGATACGGAGTAGATCAGCAATCACGGGACAAACTGATCGATTATACGCATTGTGAAAATGAATAACTTCATTAAATTCTATAAAATAATATATATATATATATATAATATTTAAAGTTTATGGTATATTAAAATTTAGTTAATTATTGAAAGCTATTAATGTTATTAATATTATTAATATTAAATGAATAGAGAGTTTTGTTGTTGAAATTGTTGAAATTGAGATTGAGATTCATCAGTAACGGCGGCATTTGTATGTTATTGAAACAGATCTTGCATACTTAAATTAGATAGATTTTGCAAATGAGGAAGTAGGTATAATGATAATTTCGAAACCTGGAATTTCGAATCTAAAGAAATCAAGATAATTTGTTTATTTGAGGAAAATTAAGCGGTGCAGAAATATTTTGAATATTTTGAATATTTTGTATATGAATCCTGTGGCGCGTAAGTTGAATTGATCGTAGGTTGAACATTATGTCGATTATTTATGAAAGAGAATGAGGGATATTGCTCATAATAATTGTCGGGCCATCCGTGGGTTTTTGAATTGTGATGATCTAGATGATCCATTGTATATTGTATATGTAATAATGTATTATCGTATAATGAATTTATTGAGGGCGAAGATGAGGAAGAGTCTTTTTATATCATGAAAAAAAAAAATTGTAGTTTCATTGATTATGGAAAGAATGAAAAATTCATCCGTTTCAATCTCTCTTTTGGTGGTTTTTTGGTTTTTTTTTTTTTTTGTTATATAAATTAAGTATAATGATAACGAAATGGATGATCAGCATTATTACGTCTATTTTAAAAATAATTTGATTGTTAAATGAGTATAAACTCTTTTTTTTATTCCCTAAAATGTTAAAAAAATAATATAACTTAGGAATTATCATTACATTTAAATCCGAATTTAACGTTCATCATTACTCAGAAGTTCAAATTCCGAAATACAGACCATAAAATAAGTAAAATATATAATCGCTTTATAAAATATGCAACATATATTATTATATTTATATTGTATATGTTCTATAAAATTTTAGATCTTTAAAAGGTAATTGTGTATTTTCTATATATATATATACAGTATATGCATAAGTAGATGGAATTTCTTACATAAGCAAAATATTGTGACGTGTAGATAAGATAAATTATAAATTTCTTTCATATAAATATTTACGGAAATTTAAATCTTGTGTTATCTTGTACCAATAATAACTTTTTATAATAGTTATCAATATTTATTGATAAAATCATTGTTATTTTTGTTACCAATATGCATATGTATACATCAATACTTTTACAGTAATATCAAATGATTATAAGTAAGGAAACAATTAAATAAATTTTTAAATTAATAATTTGTCTTACGACATAATTATTATTTTTACCATGCTAGGGAATAGGGATGATGAATTGTTTAATTTTATATAATGATAGGAAAAATTTTTGAATTGAATGTCAGTATTTCCGCGTGTAAACGTGTTGATAATTTTTAATATAAATAAATTAAAATCTTTCATATATTCTTTTTAATATTTATTTCCACGTTATATTTCCCGCGTTTACACAAATTATTTAGAATTCAAAAATTCTTAATTAAACAATGTACCAATTGTACCATGTATTATTTATTATAATATAAGACTTACTATTTCGTGTATACATGTCCGACATGAACTTTTGCGCTACATAAAAATTCCTTTTAAAGAAAATATAATAATTAATTCCTAATGGTTAAAAGGTATGTATGTTTATTGATATGCGTAATCCGCATATTACATATTCCCCCGTACTTTCAAAACTGTATATAAAATGCTTGCTTATATCTTTTATAGAATTTTTCATACCTTTCTCCCTTGAAAATTTTTTTTTCGAAATTTTTTTTTTTTTTTTTTTTCAAAAAAAATAATTTTATTTAAAATATTCATTCTTTATTCATCATGCCTTTAAGATCACGTTCATTTTCAATAGCAAGACCAGCTCCATTAATTCAGAGAAGTCGTAGTAGATGTACTATAAACACTCTTTCTAATCATCATTATAATAATCTTCCAGAACCACCTTCTCCTGACTCAAAATTCACTGCTGAACTTAAAAGTTCAACGAAAATACCTCATTTACCAACTTGTAAATGTGTTGCATGTAAAGAGCAATTGGAGTCTCGATTGGCTCATGATGCTATAGTTGAAGAAGTAGCAAAGAAATTAAAAAGTCCTGCTTTTGAAGCTTTTTTAAATCAACGTGTTTCTTTAACCACCGATCAATTAGATAGAATTGAGTTGGCTAAATTACATGCGAATGTTGATAAATTACCACAAAGATATCCTGCTCAGGTAAGAATTAACCTTTTAATAATATTAAATATACTTTGAAATAATTATTAATTAATATTAAAAAAATTAATTTAGGATGGTTATTTAAGAAAAGATATTCATAAAATGTATTTTAATACATTGGCCGAAAATCTTTCACGTCTTGAGGATCCAATATTATACGAACGTCAAAGGTTCGTTTTATCTAATGAAAAAGAGGAAGCAATGTATACTCAACGTATGTTTAAACGTGTGAGTAAAGCGTTAAAACATCGTTTTGTCTCTCAAGATGCTGAATTTTTACCACCTGAAGAACGTAAATTACAAAAATTTCGTGAAGTTGAAGGAAAATTAAATAGATTGGTTGATACTTTCCCTCAATTTGATAATCAACGTGTTGAAATGAGTCCTAATAAACGTAAATTAACGATATAAAATGTTATCATTTACGGACACTTTTTATTATTATAAATAATATAATAGTAAATTATGTATTTTTTTTTCATGATTTGTAAAAAAAAAAAAAAATTAGTTCAGATTCATTTGTATAATAATTAAATTCTTGTGCAGTGCACAATTTTTTTAATAATAAAACCTATAAAACAAAACGCATGCAAGTTTATTTTAAAGAAATTTAATTTCATATCCAGTACTTCAATAATACTTTAATGAAATTTTAAAAAAAGATGTTTATTTTCTTTTTTAGGATAACAATGGAATTCTCGATCACTTTATTCATTAAATTTAGCGTTTTAAATTATATAATGACATCTATAAATGGGTAGAAATTAAATTTTGTAAAAAATTTTCTTTGTTAGAAATTATAAAGCCTTTCTCAGTTTTTTTAGTCCTGCGCCATAAAAGCGTTCTTCAGTACGTAAAACAAATTAAAATTGAAGGTATCACAAATGAAATTGTCAATCGACGAAAAGTTTGATTTATCAATTTTGGTTAGATCATTAAAATGTTTTTAACAAAATTTGGTATAATGTAAAGTAAATCTAATAACTGGTAAATCTTTTCAGATTAGTTGTTTCAGAATCTTATTATTCGTTAATAAAAAGTCCGCAAGTAATAAATTACTTGCAGGTTGCTCACGAATATCACATGCACTTTAAATATTGAAAAAATGTACCGTAAAATTTCTAAATTTTATTTTTTAGGTTTCATTCATATCCCCCGTTCATTGTTTTTAAAAATTATCAGTTATATTATTAGTAAATATATCCCTATTTATAATTCATTAAATTTGCCTTAATTAGGAATTTTTTTTTTTTCAGGGGGGAAAAATAAAACCAATGAGATGTTAATATTTTATATTCATTCTATTAGTTGCACGATAATTTTTTAAATCTCAGATATGATTATCCAATATTAATTAACCATCATTGTAAGTAGAGAATATTATAATATAGGTCTTTGTTTTATTTTTCCTAGCAGTTTCATTCTTTTCTACTGCAAAGACCCCAATTTATGATAAAAAATACTACAGATATTAAAAATATTGCATTTTAAATTTTAACCATTATCTTTTATAAATGATTTGTATATAAAAGTAAATTTTATCTATAACTATACATTGGTCTACAATAAATTACCAGATTTCTTAAAATGCTTAGTAATTTTTTACAATGCAAAATTTTTTTTTATTTAAAAGCTAATCCATTGTAAATTTTATATTTTAAACATAAAGAGAATATTTTAAAGTATAAAAAAAAATTATCTGATCATAAATAATGATAATTTTTTGAGGTTATTTTATGTATTTATTTGCATATAAATAACTTTTGGAATTTTAAATATAAAATATCCTTAAATTATATAAAAAAATTTGACAGACTTTTATATATCTGAAGAAATGCTGATTTTACTATATTTTACTATGTATTTCTCAAATTTATTAGTAATTTGCAATAAAATTGACATTTTTCAAAACCATCAATTCTTGTTATTTTATAACAAATTTTTTTTTTTATTTAAAAGCTAATCAATTGTAGTTTTAAAAATGTAATTAAAGAATGTTTTATGTTTGAAATTTTAAAAGTTATATATATGCAAATAAATATAAAAATAATTTTAAAAATTGTTATAATTTAAGATCAGATAATTTATTTTTATATCTTAAAAATATTTCTTTTTATTTAAAATATAAAATCTAATTTATATGATTTCATTGAAATTTATGAATTTTTATGCAATGTAAAAATTATTATGCATTTTAAAGAAATCCAAAAATTTATTGTAAAGTAGTGTATAAGACATTAATTAGTTTTTTATAAATATTTTTTATAAAGAAAATTAAAAAATCATAAATTTTTAGTAGTTAAAATAAAATTCAAAATTCCAAACTATTAGTACATTACAAAATTAAGAAATTATTTAACTTATATTTATTAAATACAATTATTTAATAAATATTAAAATCAATATTTAAAAACATACTAGAAAACAACTGATTTCTCTCAATTAGTAGCCTTAAACCAGGGTTGTAGTAGTACACCTGTACTAGCAAAATTCTAGTACGTACTGTACTAGCAAAAAATTTTGTACAAGTACTAAGTACACTGTACTAATACAATTATTACTTTTTAGGATATAATTTAACCATTTTAGGTATATATCATGTGATCAATATTGTTTATATTTATAAAATTAACCAATAAAATTTATTAATAGTATGTATTAAAATTGTATTTGTACTAAATTTTCAAGTACAAGTACAGTACTTAGTACTGTACTATACTGTACTAGTACTGTACTAGTACAATTCCCAACCCTGCCTTAAACCACTCCTATCCTTAACTGATTGAAATCTGATTGGCTAATTAAATTATTATTATTAAATATTATATATTATATACAATGACTTTTAAAAAAAAAAATACTAAAATTTATAAATCACAAAATCATGTATCTGTTGATTAAAATAAATCTATATTTTTAAAATAAATAATATTGATGTAGATTTTTAAAATTATATAAAAAAACCTCTCTTGCATGTACTATACAATTATTGCTTACATTACTTTTTTCTTCAAAACTATAGTACATTCTTTTTGGTACTTTGTAAAAAATGTAAAAAATAATGTTTTAAAATTTTTTTATATTTTATATTAATATATTTATAAAAAATTTTTTCTATATATACTTTTTAAAAAAATATATATTTTTTTATAATTATTTGTAAGCCTTAATTATATTAAATAGAAAGCTTAAACTATTATATTACTTAAAGAGGAATATACAACAAGAAAAATTGCTGCTAAAATTACTGTATATCACGAGCCATAGTACCCCCCCTATGCATAATACTCCTCTTGAAAAATTTCATAAAATTGTATAATACCCAGGAGATATTTTACAATTATCTTGTGATTCAGTGATCAGATTTGAGCCATCTTTTTTTTGTTAATAGCTCTCATTGAGCTCTTCAAAATAAAAAAAATATCATTCAAATTGGACTGGTAGATCGTGAGATATTCGCAAAAAATGGAATTTTTAGGCTTTATTTAGTATCCAGGAGTACAGGGTCAAACCCCCAATTTTTGCAAGATACCCAGGATACTGTGGCCCGCTATATACGGTAACTGTAAAAGTCATACAACTATTATAAGATTGAAAAAGAAATATAAAGAAATAGGTAAAGTTAAAAATAAACTTATTTCAGACTGTCTATATTTGCTAAATAAATGGGATAAACATAATATTATCCCTTAAACTGTAAGCAATTGCGGGCAAATTTGCCCGCAATTTTACCAAATTTCAGCTCTCATCTAATTTTATGAAAAATAAAGCAATTTTAATAAAATTTTTTTCCAAGATAGTTTAAATTATATATTGTGCAGCAATTATTATCATTTATTAATTATATATTAGAAAATCGAAAATTACCCATTGGTCAAAAGTTGTATTTTAAGATAATCACAAAATTTTAAAAAACTTTGCACTTAACTTCGACGATTTCATTGATAATTAATTGTAGCTATATAAAAGCTTAATAGAATATGTAGAATTTGGTATGAGAAACGACTTTTGTTAATATGATTTTTGATATTTAAAAGTAGGATTTTGACTTTATATAGAACCTTAATGAAAATTTTATTATGCATTTTAATTATAAATTCATAACAATTGATTTTTTTTATCTCTATTTTGTTTATTATAATGCAAAATTTTTATAATAAAAATAAAAAGTTATAATAAATATTCAAATAGAGAAAAAATATGGTAAGAAAAGTTTAAATTTTATTATATAAAAATTCCGATACTATTTTTGCGGGTTAATTTCCAATCCAATTTTAATGATCAACTGTATATCTAACTCATACAATTTATGGCCAGAATGTAGATCAATTTGACTGCAAAATTATTTGACGATCTGGCCAAAATTAAAGAATTTTTTATAGCGTCATTTATTCTAATTTAGAAATTGCGGGCAAATTTGCCCGCAAAACAGTTTAAGGGATAAAAAGTATAATAATAAATTAATGTTTTAATATAGTTCAACTTTAAAAAGTTTTAATAGTTAATAATAATATTAAAGTAAACTGTAAACGTAAACACAGTATATAGAGTATTAAAAAAATGGTTTAATAGTTTGAGTAAAATATAAGAAGCCGCTATTAGCAAAAAAACATTATGAGAAATATCTTAATTTTGCAAAAATATATAAAAACTGGACTGTAAATGATTGAAATAAGGTAATATAATCAGATAAATTAAAATTTTGAATATTTGATTCAGATGTTCATCAGTATTACTGAAAATGTCTAGGAGATCTACTTCAAACTATACATATAAAACTTACTATTAAATTTGAAGAAAATAATATTTTTGTATAAAGATGTTTTATATCATTAAGTATAAAATACTTGGTTAAAATTAAAGGAGGACTAGATGTAAAATTATATTGTAAAGTATTAAATGAAATCCCTTTCTTTTAATTTATCTTCAAGTCAAAATCCAATTTCAGAAAGGTGTTCCTTAGAAAATAAAGTAAAAGAAATATTTTAAATAATTTAAATTCTGAAAAAAAAAACTGAAAAAGAAGACTGAAGATGCTCTAAAAAATAAAAGAAAATTCTTTTTTAAAAAAAAAGCAAGCTAATAAAAAAAAAATATCAGATTTGATCAAATTATTTGATTAATTTGATCAATTTGATTATCTATATAACATCTAATAATCATCCAACAAATCCATCCAGATTTTTTGAAATCTGTTTATTTTTAATTCAGATTATCCAATCCAGTTATAATAGATTGAATGGATTTCATCAGAGAATATCTCTATTTGGCAATTATATTGTTTAGATCATTTTCTGAATCACTCTTTTTAAAAAGTGAACTCAGAGTGATATTTATTCTTGTTTAATATTTTATTTATATTCACAATCCATATTTTTTAAAAAAATTTCAATAATTAGAATGATTGTTTATAGCTAATGCATCCTTTATCTTTTATTTTTATTTCTAAAATTAAAATAATTATTAGTAATTTTCAATATTACTTAAAAATTTAAATATTTAATTAACTTACTTCTAATAAACGGTTAATTATATGGTTTATTACTTTCTTTTATTTTTTTTTTGCCTTGTTAAGCTGACTTTCTTTTTATTTATGTCAACTATTTTTATGCAAATCTAAGAAATAATAAGAATACTTTAACTATACTTAATATTGTACAGAAATCATATTATTTAAAAAGTGATTAGTTGAATATAAGAAATCAGATTCTTTTTTAATTATAATATTATTTTACCAAACTTCTTTGTATAATCAATAAGAATTAATCAATTTTTACACTATAAATTAGAATTTTAATTTCATCCTATAATGAAAATTGATAAATTAATAAGTTTAAATGTTATATAAATAATAAAAGTATACCAAATTTAAATATACTTTATTTCTTTTCAATATTTCTTATAATATTGTATTTGTGATGTTTCTTGCAACAAATATAGATTATTTTAGAAATATATTCTTCATTGTTTTATTTATCATGTTCATTTTCATTATCTTCAACCTGAATATATTCATTAGTTAATTTTGTCATAAATATTCTTATAAATTTAGAGAATGCTCTATATTCTTATTATTTGCCTGAATCCACTGGTCATTTGTTCTTGAATGGATGACATTTCTCTTTCAAGTCATGAAATATGCTTTTTAACCAAAATTAAAATACTAAAAAATTATGATCTAAATTAGATAAAATAATATTTGATCAGATTTACTTTTTATAAAAGATATATTTTTCACAAATTTTAAAAGGGATATACTTTTATTTCTGTTTTATTATATATAAATTTTATAGAGTTTTGCTAACTTGCCTTTTGAGTTAAATAACCTGGATTAAATCACCCCCTTAAAATTTATATTTTACAACAATCATTTCTTTTTTTTTCAAAAAAAAATTATTTGTGTTATTATTCATTTTACTTTATATAAATCATATGGGCTGATCCTTGGAATCTAATTTTTTTACACAAAAATAATTTTATTAAAGCAAATATAAATTATCATTTATATAAGAATAATAAATTTATACCAGATAATGCAAAAAAAACTAATTAATTATATAATTTTTAATTTTTTTTTAATATAAGATATCATTAAAATTTAAAAGATCAAATATAACTCTCATGACAAAATCATTGATAATTCTTCGTAGAAATAAGCTATACAAATAAATTTACATTCATTTGAAAGAGAAAATCAAGATCTATCTAATGAATCTAAAATCAAGTGAATTGAATCACTAGTTGTTCAGTAATCACGTTCAGTATATTATTGAATTTTATCTAAATTTGATCATTAATTACTTCACATATAGTGATCCAATTTTCCTGATCTTTGATTCTTACGATAGAGCAAATTCTCAGCTTTCAAATGAATGTAAAATGATGACGTTAGCATATCTCCAGGAATAATAATGCACGATTTTGTCACCTGCATAAAGTCCGATCTGAAAATTTTATTTCTTACCAAAAAATGCTTTCATAAGAGAATCCCAAATTCTTTTACTTTATTTAAAAGATTTTATTTGCCATTTAAGGATTTTAGTAGAATAAATCTAATAAAATAATTTTAAAAGATAAAAAACAAATATATAATTAGTTATTTTGAAAAAAAAAGAATATCTTATTATTCATTTTACAACTATTTTACATCATAATTATTTTTTATTTGCATGTATTTTTTACAAAGAAAAAACAATAAATTAAAGCTAAAAATTATGAAAAAATATGTCTTATCTATGTATATAAAATATTAAGTTTTTTCTTTTACTTACCACTTAAAAATAACTGCTATATTTGCTTATAAACTTTTTTGTCATATTTAATAAAAGTGAATAGAAAAATGATGGAAAAGTGATGGGAGTGATGGGGAAAAAGAAGTGGTTATTACCGTTATTTTTGAATATTGATTAAAAAAATTTTTTTTATTTTTTATTAAATCTGAGTTACGTAAATATGTAACACATATTTAATTTAGATTTGTGTAATGTTAATCTTACTAAAATATTAATTTTTATAAAAATCTTAATTTAGACTAATTCCAAAAATCGGCACATATGTTTTATTAATTTGAACATTATAAAGCATAATGACTGAGTTTTCTTACATTTTTGATAATGTCTCTTTTTAATTGTGTCCATAATTTACATTTTTTTTTTTTGAAAATTTGGGCAAATTATATAATTAAATAAAATTTACTAATAGGTTAAATCACCCAGGTTAAATTAGTCTTATACAATTTTATAATACATTTATTTTGTTCTAATATTACATAAAAATCTTTATAAAATTTATAATTAATGATATTTAGATCTTTTTTTTCTACTTTTAGATTTTTTTTCTTTTTTCTTTTTATTTTAGCTCTACTTTTATTTTTACTTTTTCATTTATTTCAATTTGGAAGAGTACAGATTATGAAAAGCAATAATAGGTTCGCGAAAAATATTGGGATCAGGATCAAGTTCGCAAGAGTGAATCTTATTTTAAGAGATCAAAAGATTAATTCGCTTAATGTACGATGATAGTAAAACAATCTACATCAGAATATTGATGTTATCGAAGAGCTGTCTACAATTTACCAATTCATAATTTGAGCATAATAATTAATTATATTGGGAAGTAAGATTTATTTATGCCGAAGGTTCTTCAACCCGTACTCCCAATTCTTTAAAAAAATTTGTCCAGACCTTCATAAACATATCCTTGAAAATTCGATCTGAATTTCTTATGGATCCATGACTTGTAAAATATTCTTTAAACATTATCCACTCCTTTTTTAAAAAGTCAACTAACTTATCGGCTCTTTTTTTATCAAAAATATTTACGAGTATATTCCATTGTCTAAGCAATTTTTCCATCATTTCACAGTCGATCTGATCAATACCTTTATGAACATGGTTTTGTCTGTAAAACATTTTTGGCTTGATAATTAATGGTGATAATGTACCGTTAATCATCAATTTTTGTTCTTGTCGAACACATTCTATTAATTTGTTACGATATTTCAAATAAAAAGTTTCATCATAATATGAAATTTTTGCCAGCATCCAAGGATGTAATATCCAAATTTTTGGTTCCAAAACTGCAGTGTTCACTTCTAGATAAGGTAGTCTTGGTTTTTCATCAACTATTGACAAAATATAATCCAGTAAAGGTCCATACATATTTGCTGATCTAATTGGTTCTCTTTCACCTTTATCAAGATATCTTTCACGAGTCTCGAGTGTTATTATATAAGCATGAAAGAGAATTTCCTAAAATGAAAATATTGACATTTAACCTTATGATGATAAATTTTAAACTCAACTTCTTACCATATTTTGTGGCGATTTATTAATATATTCAGAAAAATTTTTTATTATTAAATATTTATTATATTGGGGTAGTCCACCTTCGGTGGTATCTCTTGAACAATCTCGTATAAGTAATTTTGCGGCGGCGCGATATGAAATAGTTTTCGGTAACAATTTAAAGGAGTATTCTTCTTTCAATAATGACATAATATTATTATCTCTAGCATTTGTTGGGTGATTTATACTTCTGAGATAAGATGCGCTTCCCAATAAAGTCATCTGAACTTCTGTTAATACATCAGCTGTCACCGCAGGTTTGCTTCCTATTGTGACATCCTAATTTTAAAGGAAAAAATTATTATAAAATAAAATAAAATATTTTTAATTCGTAATTAATTACCTCCACGATCCTCTTTTTTATATCACCATCATAAGTTTCTATGACATAAGCAAGAATATCAAAACTTAGATATGGATTGGTTAGTAAAGTTCTGTATAATAAACGTTGACTGTTAAAAATCTCATCTATTGTAGGTATTGTTTTTTCAACGTCACAAGCTTTTGTTGTCTCTTTTATTTTTTCTACAAGTTTATTAAAAATATGTTTTTTATATTCTGTATTATTTTTAATATCGGATAAATCAAATACTACTTCAGTTGCAAGCTTTATACAATTTTGTATTTTTTCTCTGTCCCAAGTACCGATCAGCATTGTTTTCGCTTCTGAAAGTAACAAGACAAATTTATAAATTTGATCGATTAATTTTATATCCATTTTAAATTGAGAAGAAAGAAATCTGAAGTTACGCGTTTTTTATAGCTGTATTACGTCATCATCTACATATCAAAATTTTTGGCGTAACAAGCAGTACTATTATGCTCCGCTGAATCTTTATATAAAAAATTTTCATATTTAGTTGAGTAAAAATTATTGAATCACTTTTATAAATTTATTTTGTAAATTATTAATTTCTTATACTTTTATACTTTACATAAAAAATTGCTTTTTTTTGATATATCTGATATATTATTATAAGTATACATGTTGCCAAAAATATATTAGACAAATCCCAAATCCCAAATTAATTATGGCATCCCAAATGTACAAATCCCAAATTATTACGGCATCCTAAAATAATTATGACATCCCAACCCTGCAAAAAATCTGATCTGTGTTTTATCTTTCCATGTTTTTTCTGTGAATGTATCATTTTAATGGAATTTATAGCCTTAATCATGGAAATTTTATAGCCTTAATCATGGAAATTTTCATTTCACTAACATGGATATCATTTTTATGGAATTTTTACGGAAGACACGGAGAAATAATGGAAATATTCAGATAAAAATTTTTTATAGGGCAAATGTACAAATCCCAAATTATTATGGCATCCCAAAATAATTATAACATCCTAAAATAATTGACATTCCAAAATAATTATGGTATTTCAAAATAATTATAATATTCTTTTATATTTTAATTTTAAAAATCTATAATTATTATAATTTTATAATTTTGATTCAAATTTAAAAAAATTAATTATGATATTTTAAATGTATGTCTTAAATTATTGTAATATTTCAAATTAATTATATCATTTTAAATTAATTATAGCATCTCAAATTAATTACAACATTCCAAATTAATTATGACATTCCAAATTAATTACAACATCCCAAATTAATTATAAGGCTTTATAGTATCTCAAATTAATTATAGCATCTCAAATTAATTTATATTTATTAGATTATTAAAATATGATTATCAAAAATATGATGATTTTATAATATGATAATCTTGTAATACTTATAAATATCTTTTAAAAAAATTTAAATTACAAAAAATATAGAACAATTCAGCTCGCCTTATAATGAATTTGGCGTCCCAGCCGATTGAATCTTTGTTATTAAAATTCATTAACATTATAACAGATTATTTGATAAATATTACAAAAATCTGGTATAAATTTTCTGCATCATGTGACATTATAGATTATACAATATTTGTAATAATTAATAAAATTAATTGAAAAATGTAAAGTTCGTTTATTACTCATTTACAATTTATTATATTATGATCTAATATTATAATAATTATAAAATATACTAGTATCCTAAATTAATAATTACATTAATTAACTATATAATTATTTTTTTTTTATTAATATATTATCAATTTTAGTTACAACTAATCAAGCTCTGAAAATCGAAAGAGATGAATTTGCAAAAAAATAAAAGCAAGTACACAATATGAAAGTGGGGGGTTTGAGGACTGAAGGTCTGATCCCACTGAAATATTGGATGTGTAGGCCACAAAGACCCCGGAAAATACTTATATAGGTAAGGTCCCAAAAATATTTTTTATTAGTAGCTCTAAGCATAGGTTTTTACTATGATCGCTAAGCATTGTTGATATCTAACCTTAAAAATTATATAAAAATAAGCAAATCAATCTTCTAACCTAATTAAATTTTTATTTTAACACATATAATTTATAAAATATATTTATTAATTAATATATTTTATTAAATCCAATTTTAAATATGTTGTGAAGCTAAACTAAACATAATATACAAATAGATTAACAATATTCAATTAATAAAGTTAATAAACAGTAAAAGAAAAATTCGAAATTAATACTATTACAAAAAATGTAAATTT